GTGGAATTTTATTAAAAAAGGAGAAAAGAAAGACACCCTCCTGTCCAGTCTAGGAGTTGGTAATACTCATTTTAAGCTGTGACCTGAAATCTGAACTTTGATATCCAGAGAATATTCACTTTTAAGCTACAGTTTCTAGTTCCGTGCTTACAACTCATTCTTTAATGCAAACACAATTTGATGGTATCTGGTGCATAAATCAATGATGTGGCTAAAGTCTCAGTCAACTCTTCTCAGAATAAATGTTGCCATTTAAAATGTGGCAATCAAGCTTGTAAAGGGAAGGAAAGAAATGTCACTTGCAACCCAAGTGGTTCTGTTAACAAGCTGGGTTCCTGCTTCAGGTTTTTGTCTGATAAAGCCACTTATCTGATACTATGAAAGGTCATAAGTAGCTGTTGGAACAGTGGAAAGTCCACAGAAGGCTTTTTTGCCATCCTGCAACTTTTGTTTAAAGTTTTAGTTGAACCATTATTTCAGTTCCTGGAGCTGAGTAATTTCATCTGCCTGGCACAGGAACATGCACAGAGCAGCTCTGCACTGTGGAGCAGGCATGGGGTGAGCAAATGACCTCCATCCTACAGGAGAATTTCCCTGTGTGTGGGAATACAATGAGCTTCTCCACTCATCTCAAGATGTTTTTGTGAGGATGCAGAATTCTCTGGGTGGGAGAATTACATTCCTTATTAAAGCTCATCCAGCAGATCCCAGGGGTGACCCTCAAGTCTTCTCCTCAGTCCCACTGTGCAGACAGAGCCTCACAGAGTGACCTTGCACATTTTTAATGTGTTGCTACAAGGAGAAGGGTTTAGATCTGACCAAAACCAAATATATGGAGAGTCAGTATCAGCCTTCTGTACTAAAATCATCTGCCTTTGGCACATCTGTGAACATCCTTTTATAGAGGCCAAGTAATGAATTCATTAAGAGATGTATCAACTCTCTGAATTTGCTTCTACAACTGTCTCCGTATGGCATGCACATGCCACTTGTTTAAATACCATAAGACCTTGTAAACCACAAGCATTACTAAAATATTTTTTCCCACTCACACTCTCTCCCCCTTTTTTATACCAAGACTATGTAAAACGTTTTACTAAAGATTCAGATTCTCCCAGTGAAGCCAAGTGCTACTTGTCTGGAAATAGACCTTCTCTGTGCCTCAAAAAGCACCTGGAGCAGATGGCCAGAGTCAAGACACTCCAGGATCACAATCTCACACTGTCTCTCCCCTTACACATCAGAGGAATGATCAGAGGGAAACATTAACTATTACAGTTGTATTTACTGAAGAGACCAACATCTGGCTGCAGTGAAGAACAGAACAACTCATGTCAGCATTGGGGATGTCAGATGTAATCTGAGTTCACATCTCCTAAATGCTCAACTTCAGTGCCAGGCCAGGGCAAAAGAGAGTGAGGGCAGAAAACACTGTTTAGAAGAGCTGTCCAGAAACAGGGATCCACACTAACAGGAAAACTTGCATATCTTCTCTGAAAAAGTTGGGGGGAAAGGGCCTTTCAAAAATCTGGGAGCTGCAGCCCTCATTTCAGTGGATACAAGACTTGCATCAAGCTTTATTTTTACAGAGCGTGAATCATTTCTCACTCAGTGAGAATCACTGGGATCATTCTGCTGTCGGTATCTCTGACACCAGCAGTGCTAAAAATACAAAAACTCCAAAGTCAACCATGTGCTGTCAGTTCTGAACCCAATTGCTGCATTGTTTGCATCTATTGACAAAGAGCAGAAGCAGGTGTTGACACCTTTCAGATCCATCTGTTTGGGAGTGCGGGAGTGGGCCCACTCTCAAAAAACCTGCCTCCTTCTCCATTTATCCCTAACAGTAAATATTTGACTTCCCCTCCTGGTCTTATGAACAATGGCAGCCTATAATTATAGCTAATACCATACAGGCTGCTGTGCTGTCGCTCACTTCTGCTCTCAGCCATGCTTGAGAAGGACCATAGAGGGCCCTACATGGCACTAAACTACCTGCACAGCTCACACCCAGCTCAAGAAGTCACACTCTTGTGATTCCTTTCCTTCTGAAAAGGGTGATGTGAACCAGAAAGCAGCAGAAGAACCTTTTCTAAAACCCCTTGGCCATTTTATAATTTTAACTACAAAAATGTACACTATTCAATTTTGTCTACTATACCATAGCTAGAGAGCAAGCCAGTACTGAATCCTTAATTTCAAGTGATTATTTACATAATCTTTGACATCCACCCCCTCTGGAAAAGAAATTATCTTGCAACATATGAAGATAGCTGTGCTAATTATGATTTCAGTTGCCATGAAACAGTCTGCAAATGTGGTCCCTCCCATCATGTTATAAACAAGGTCTTGGGGTGTGGTTTGCTTAACAAGTACCAATATCTGCAGCTTAACTAACTGTGCATTTTCATGTATGGTGAGATTGGGCAAGCACATGCCAAGAGCTCTTATAGAGGCCAGAACTGGATTTTGCACCAACTTAGACAAATTCACAGAGAAAAAGTCCAGTGGACATAGCATCTGGTTGTTAAAACCATTAAATGGCTGTCTGATGGAAAAAGTGTGTTCAGAGCAGAATTGCTCTGAAACAGCCTCTTCCTGGATCTGATTGCACAGCTGAAATTTGGGAGGTAGGCTCTGGTTTCACGTCCTTTGGCCAGTGTAACATGCCAGCTGGAAGTTGGGTTTCCTACCAGGTTTGACCTAGCAGCAGCCCATGGAATGGCCTGTTCTTTCTCACCCGCACTTCCATAAGTGCTTTGTTTAGGGGAAATGGAATAAAAAGGAAAAGCTCTTTGTAGTGCTTTTGGATCTGCATTGAAACAGCCATAGCTGGGTTGACCATGGAGGTTGTGGGCCCTCCTTTAGTCTGGTTCACACAAGATAATATTTCACCCAGTGCCACAGGAATCTCATTTCTCTTGGCAGAGTTGCTCTTTTGTGTCTTATCACTAAATGGGTGATAAATTGATATCATGGAATCAAAAAACAGCTTGAGTTGGAAGCAACCTTTTAAAGGTCATCTAGTCCAACCCCCCTGCTGTGGACAGGACATCTTCCGCTAGATCAGGTTGTGTCCAGCCTGGCCTCAGACACTCCCAGGGATGGGACAGCCACAGCTTCTCTGGGCACCCTGTGCCAGTGCCTTACCATTCTCATGGTAAAAATCCTCTTGAAATACATTCTTCAAATATTTAAACATATAGGGGCATTCTCTGCATATTACCAGGAGTATTGACTCACAGCAAATTTCAGCTTGGTGTCATCCATTAGAAGAATCTGTCTGGCATCAAGAAATGAAGGCAGAGCAGAACATGTGTCCCTCAGAAGACAAAGTACATGACCCTCACAGTATTTTCACTTGCCTAACAATGGAAAGAAAGCTTCTCTTCACAATGCACCAAGCCTGGCTTCCAGAAGATAATGGAATAAGGAGTTGCTGGCCCAGTAATAGCTGTTTAATTAAACTATTTTGTTCAACTCCAATCTAAACTTTTTTTTTTTTCGTTCTTTTCACAGAACAGATTTGGGGATTTAACACTCAGGCTGACCCAAAACAGTGCCATGGTTCATTAGCAAATTAGAGTTTTAACCCCAACAATTCCTACAGCAGTAACAGCAGGGCAGGATATGTTCTTATGAAAAGTTTAAAAGAAAATGCTGCTTGGACTACTGAGATTGCTGGCCAGACCTAGAGGGCTCTTGTACCCCTGTTGACATTTGTGCTGATGCACAGAGGTTTGTGGCAGAACTTTGTTCAGTGGAGATAAACCAGGTGTTCTCTATGCCCATCATTCAGGCTGCTGAGTGCATTGCCCTTCTTTTTGTCCCTTGTCTTTGTAAAGCTTTATATAATAAGTTTTGTTGGATCACTTCCACACTGTAATAATTGTGAAATCTCTATGTGGTTGGCAAGACACAGAGAGACCACTGCAAAGGGCCTGCCATATATTTTTCCCAATGCCCCATATACCACAAACAGAGTTTATTCCAGGGTAGCTCTGCCAAGCTCAAGGGAGTCTAATTTTGGAGGAACCATTCCAACAAGTCTCAGCTTAGTAGTGAAAAGAAAAAAAGAAAATTATCCTTCCTTGACACCTAGAGAAAAAACAAACCAAAACATGTGGCTTAAGGCCAACACAGGGCTCTCCCAACCTTCAAGCTAAAGCCTAAAATACATCTAAAACAAATAACTAGTTGGTTTCTGTATTTCTCCATCATCTTCCAGACAAATAATAAAGCAAAAAATGGAAGGACTGCAGATACAAAAGCTTCTCCTTACACCCATCCTTCACAGCCACTTGCTTCCTCTTCCATACACACCCTTTGAAAGATAAAATCCTACCTCCAAAGCTATCTCTTTAAACCAGCACCAACAGCCTTATTGATTTTGGTTTTGTCTAGACAAACTGTCAGGTTTCAATGCACTGAGGTCTCTGACCCAAGCTGATTCTTTGCCCTTGTCCTTAAAAAACAGAAGTGTACTTGGGGTTTCCTTGAGGCTGACACTGGAAGGTGTGTAACAATACAGACTTACATTATGTTCTTTCTATTGGAATTTCCCCAGCCCTTTACAAACTGCACAAGCCAAACAATTCAAGACAATAAAACATGCTAATTGAAATATTTACCATTAACATTTCAGTGCCTAGGTACTTCCCACTAATAGTCTGCAGTATAATCCAGTGAAATCAGACCAGTGCTACAAAAGCAAACACTACTTTTAACCTTGCAGTCAAATGAGGAGGAAATGGGAGGAGAGCGAGCCAAGCCACCCTGGTGTAATCAAGTGCAAAGCCATTCAGGCAGTGGCTTTACACCAGTTTACAAAGTCCAGCTCTGACCCACCTCCTCAGCATGCATCAAACCAGCCTCAGTTTGTGGAAGAGTGGAGCAATGGTCCAGTTCCTGAGGCTGTCACAGCTGAGACAGCTACCATACACAGAGAGTATCATCATACAATAACAGAAAACTTCACCCTCTACACAGTAACACCTTACCCCTCCAGAAGGCTGCAAGCATCTGCCTTCCTTGTTCTTCAGCCCAACCTTTTATCCCCTTATGTTCCTGCAGTGCCCCTGTGTGCCCTCTGTTCCCTTTGGTGGTTGCTCAGAGCACCTGGGCACTCCCTGGCTCATTGCTGCCAGTGCTGCTCACCTGCTGCTCACAGCTGTGCCCACTGGGGATGAGGCTGGGCCCAGCCCCACTCCCAATTACCCAAAACTCTGTGCCTACATGAGGACTGGCAAATTTTCACCCTCCCCAGTTCTGTGAGAAACAGCCTCCCAGCTGGGACCACCAGCTACCAGCTTCCTACAGTCTTGGGCACTGTCAGCTGCTGCAATGCCTTAGCTAAGCTGGATGGAGAAGGCTCAAAGATATTGATATCACATGAGCACACCAAATCTAGTCCTCTATTAAGGAATCATTTGCTATAATGCAAACAGGTCCTTGCTCCCATCAGGGAGCAGTTACAGGGCAGTCCTTCACCCAAGCAGGAACAACAAAAGAAAGAACATAGATAATCATTGTGGAAAATGCATAATCCAAAAAGTACTGGCTGCTGGAGCATGAGGGCACTGATCCTGCTGGCACTCTCCTGGGCACCTTGATGAATCTCTCTCTTGCTTAGGCATAGAAAAAGCTGCTCTGAAAATAACATTCTAGAACACAGTAGATCAGTTGGCACTGAAGAATGTTTGTATTCAATTGTTCTTCAGTTATGTTAGCCTTTTGGCCATCCTCCTAAGTCTGACAGCAGACAGCAACGTCTGTTATGTAAAATCAATTCTGGATTTTTTTTAATGCCTTTATATCAGTATTCTGCCTTTTAAAAGGTAGAAGGCTGATGAAAGCAGCGAAACAAGGGACTAATGGGTCCCAGTGGAGTTACACAGAAAGATGTTAGCAAATGCCTCTGCTGCTGTTGTCACAGCAGTGTTGTAGCCACAGTGGCCCAAGGATGGTTAACCATTTAACACCTTCCTAAACTTTATCAGCTTCTTTTTCAGACCTGAAAGAGATCTCCAGGGCCACTTCTTGTCAGCTTTGTCCCCAGACATAGCAGCTGATTCATTCTCAGATATTCTACCCAGAAACCTTGTCTTGTTGGCACTATTAGAGACAGGTCTCTGTTTCCCTATTTTCAACATCTTTCATTTTATGGAAATGTTTTACCAGACATAAACCCCTGGTCAAACCCTCAGAAACAGTTACACAAGTGGAATAGCAGACAGTGTGGGCCAGGAGCTTCCAACTGGAGTGTAACAGCACAGGTCCCACGCTTGAGCCTGCCTCCACCAGGGAAAGGACAGCACCTCCAACAGGAACAAGGTGTTTGCCAGTTCTGGCTCCTCTGTTCCTGCATCCAAACATCTGAAACTTCATTGTAAGACCTGGGAATGGGGATCACATCACTAAGTGAGGATCTCAGTTTCCATTCATGTGGCTAGAAAGGAAAAGGGAAAAAAAACCCTTACAGCCAGGTTTCTGTCAGAGGCTTTCAGTTCTGCAGATCTCAATTAACAGCTGTCCAGCAGAGACACCAGCTTGCTCTGGCCTCTGACTGAGCTGTGCATACAAAGCTGTCAAAGCTCTGCCTCAAAGCTGATCGTGGGGAAGGGGAGGGCAGGCACAGCCAGTGGGACAAATGTAAAAGCCTGCCCTGCTCTAGCCCAGCTCAGAAGCCACTCAGAAGGACTTTAGGAGATTTGTCCTTTAGGCAGGGGTGAATTTTAGATATCATTCTTTGATACCACAGAGACATACACAACCATCTTCTATCACTGTCAGTAGAAGGCAATGTCAGGCCTCTGCAGGCAGGCCTGTGACCTTCTCTTTAAAGATTTCTCAGCTTTACACCATAACACTGATAGCAGCCAGCTTTTAAAAACAGCCTCCAAGTGCACAAGCGTGAGCCTGCTCACAGTTACCCTGATTAAGCCAAGAACAGAATTCATTCCTTATTGCTAATAGGGGAAACAGAACAAAAATGAAGCTGCCATAAATAAACCAAAGTAAAGGCCAACTTCTGCCCTCAGCTGTAGGTGAGCTGGAAGGGGTCATTCAGGGAAGACAAGACAACTGAGTCTGGGAAACATTGCCAGGATGGGGATTCATACCTGCCTCTGCCTCCCCCAGAACCACCAGCAAGGCAAATTCTGCTTATTTCTTATGTAAACAGATGGACTTTGGACTAGACTGCAGTCAAACAGGGACAGCCTCAGCCAGTCTAGACACATCTGTGCCAGTGGCACAAGAGCTTGGCTGGATGCCTATAAGCAAGGTGGCTGCAGTGGCTCAGGATAGTAATTTTGGATGAAGTTGGAAAAAGTGATTTTGGATGAGTTTTTCAACAAGGGGGTATAATCTGTGCCAGATGCTCTGCTGACACAGGTAGGCAGAGCTCCCCAGATGTCAGTGTCTGTGATAATCAGTGACTGGCAGATAATGGTTTGGATCGGAATGGCTTTAACCACATCAACATGTGCTGCATTTCAGGCTGGGGCAGGATGGCTTGAGGTTCCCCAACACACCTTTCAGACGTGGTGAAGGGAAGCCAGAAGGCAAAGCCTGATGCAACTGCCTGAAACAATTAATCAATCCAGTAAAAAAGCTCCCCTTGTGACATTATTTTTCTCTTCTTAAGGTTTCAGTTCATAGCTGTGCTCCTTTTTGGTTTGTCACTCTTCTTTTCCCCTCTGTATTAAAACTGAAATGTTCAAACCCTGCAGTTGGTTCAGATGGGAGGCCTATAAACATTGAATGCATGCTCTGCACCAAAACACGTACAGCCTTGTAACATTTTCTTTTAGGAAACAACATTGCCAAAACACAGCAGTAGAAGGATTAATTTAGGCCATGTTGGGATAACCCATCCTTCCTCTTGCTCCTCCAGGCATGGGTGTACATCCGTGCCCTTCCCTCTTTGATGATTTACATCTCACACAAACCTGGCCTGGCTCTTGGGTACTCCAAAACCTGAGCCAACACAGGAGTGGGGTTGGCTTTAATCCACCTTGGTGCCATCAGCAGCCCAGAATTGTGACAGGATGTACCTGCACAACTGAAACTGTGCTATGTTTCTTACAACTCTGGCAACAGAAAACAAAGTGAGTCATACCAGCAGCAGCAAAGGACTAGGAGCAGGACCAAAATCCAGGCTTCCAAGGAGAGCTCTAAGAAGTTTGTTCTATGGGAACTCTGTCCTCTCTCTCAACATCTATTTATTCAGCCAGGATTTATTGTAAGGGAGAGTCACCCTTTACATCTCACTCATTTTCATGTGAGTTCAAGTTCGCTGCAGCTGAAGGGAGTTGTGCAAAAGGATCCTGTTAAACTGTAACCAGCGGTCGGATGTGCCAGTTAATCATCTACTTTGAAACTTGTCCCTTTTGATAATAATTTTCCATGGCTGCAGAATTAAAGCTTAACTGGTCATTGGCTTCGAAAATGACCTTGTCTGACAGGGAATGTGGAAGAGGAAACAACAGTAACATGACCTTCTTGTGTAAATTCTAGATGTGGACAGAAGGGAGAAAAATACTGCTGGCAGTTTCCAATCGACTCAGTGATTTATCTCAAGCAGACTGCAACGTCTCCCCGGTCATCTCCAGGCATGAAAGGAACACCAGTTCCTGCCTCTGGGGGCTGCAGGGCAGAGTCAGAGAGAACCCTGCCAGCAGCGCTTCCCAGACTGGAGAGATGTCCTTGGAAAGCACAGGAACATCACAACCTGTGCACCTGACTGGTGAGCTGGGTGCTTCCTTCCTGCAGTACTGACCTGCCTTGGGGAAACGTGATGGAAACATTTAAGAATTTAAAAATCCAGGCTACAGGCAGGAGAGCTTCTGAGCAGATACCAAGTGTGACAACAGGTCCTCACCACATCCATTGTCAGTAGGCACAAGTGTTAAAACCAACCCAGTTCTGCTGGACTCACAACTCAGAGCAGTAAAATTGTATTAACCTCCAGTATCATGTCTAGAACTATTTCAGCCCTTTAAGTCCATGCTAAGATGGAAATGAATCCTAAATTTTCCTAGGCAGACAACCAACACTAAAAAGCAAAGGGCAAGGACAAGACAAACAGCACCAGATGTGATGATATGTTATAAAATCCATGCCAGACTTCTCCCAGCAGCCAGCACTCACTCAGACAAGATGCTGGGGAGTCAGGGCGGTTCACACACATGGCTACTACAACAGTTTTGGGTATGGGGCAAGAGGGAACATAATTAATTAACAGACTTAAGGAAACTTAGTCACACAGTAATGAGGGTGAGTGACCAGACAGATTGTCAAAGCAGAAAAAGCTCTTAGCATGAGTCCTCTCTTTTCAAAAGCACCTTGCTTAAGATTTACAAACCCATGTTGCTGACTAGGAATGAAATTTAAGCTTAAAATCCTTGAAAACATTACTCAGTCAAATGAGATGAGAAATCAATGAGATGAAGAAACATTAATTCTTTTGTGTAATTACATTTTTTACCCAAGATAAAATGGAATTTATGTTGTTCTAAAGCACTGGCAGAGTTAAATGTCTAAGGGAAGTCTTCAGTAATAATAATTTATTTTAAAAAGGTTTTGGATCAAACCACACTGGAATCAGAAATTTCCAGAACTCCTCACAATCAAGACCTCCCCAGCCAAAAGGCCCCTTCTTTCCCTGCTTGTGCCCAATGGTGGTTTTGGTTTTACTGGACAGCTGCAATGTGCAGGCTTGGAAGAAACTCCCTGACAGGGCTGCTGAACTGAAGTCTCCAGGCTTCCTTGCTGCTCTTTTTCAAGCCAACTTCCCTGGCTAAATTGCCCAAGAACTGGAAACTTGATCTCTGCAGATCCACTCAGCTATTTTGTCCAGACAAATAGGATCTCAGGCCACCCACTCAGTAAGATCTTGCTGTTTTGGAGATTGCCTATGAGGAAACTTGGAGCTACAGTTTGGATACTGCAAATGTTCATAGCCTGAAACACCTTCCTCTCAGAGGCCTTAGTTTGATGGGAAATGCACA